CCGGCTAGATCCGTCCGTTGGAATCAACTGAAAACAGCGTACGTTTGTCTTTGTTTGCCTTGTTTTCAGATATGTACAGTACTCCTGTTATATACTCCTGTATTGCACCCGAAATGCGGTAACTGCTAAATTAATAGCAAAAAAGTACAAACTAACCCCCTTGAAGCCCTCATCACATTGCGGACTTGTCGCATGGGCGTGGATGGCGTCTATAGCTACCTTCTCCTTGGTTGGCTCTTCACCTTGATACGGCAGAGCGATGAGGAATCAGGGCTGCGAGCATTAGGGGAGGGCCACAAGCTTCAGTGACGTCGGACTTACCTCACTTTAATGATTGGCGCATCAAGTGACATCAAGTGACATCAAGGCCTTCTAGCTGGTCTGCTTGTTCCCTTCCACTGGTCGAACAATTATGATTTTTTGGTCGCAATAGCTCACACCTATTTGATAGCGGAAGGTGCTAATGCAGGTCACGGTCCAAAAAAGGAATGCCGCCAAAAGTGATTCGAGTAAGACTGCCACTGATGTCAGCTCAGCTGTGACCCTAGTCGGCACTAAAAAGCGCATAGTCAAGAATGACGCCAAATTTTGTTGAGGACAGAAATCATCAAGCCACAAATGTGATAGACACGTTGATCATGGGGGCGGAGTCCCTGAGGCCATAGCTCACTTCTTATTGGTGCCTAACATGCAAGGAGGAGTAGACCAATAGAGTGTGCGTGATGGCCCATTGAGAGAGTTGTCCACGCTCAGTATGTACACCAGTTTCGAACAAACAAACTAACCTCAGGTTCTGGTCCGATAATTGTCAGAAGTACAGGCAGCAGGCAGAGACCATTAAATACGGCTAATACTACCAACGTCGACATAACGACAAAGAAATACTTTATAACGAAGTCGAATTCGGAGAACACCAGCATAACTATTCCTGAAAATGCCACTGGTTTATTACAAATGAATGCTGTTGCCACGAGTTGTCAACTTCTCACTAGTTCAGCTTTCTCGTTGAAATCTTGCTGAACAAAAAACAACGAACCTAACAGGGTCGATATGGCTCCATGGAACACCGGTACAAACATGTGCTGCAAGCAGGACTCGAGACGATCATCCACCGATCCCAACGAAGTCAGGAATGCCAGTACGACGTGAGCCGTGAACTCGACACCTGCAAGTATAATTTGTGACGTTGATTTGATGTCATTCCACCCAGATACCTTACCTATTCCAACTGCTGAAATCAGGGTTACGGCAGAAATCGGATTCATTTTGATGCCAAACACTCCCATGAATCCGCCTAATTCGATTGTGACGATTACGACGATAACCATCACCTGCAAAATAGCACATCCGTGGAGCGATCTAACATCGAAGGCATTCCGAAGACTGTTGAGATAAAAGGTCAAAGGTTTGGAAAAAGTAGAAAAAATATTGATATTTCAACGTTGGGCAGAGGTGGCTGGGCTCTTGCAAGAAATGGTATGGACAACCCCTTGGAACACCTCAATCAGTAACAAAGGCCTGCTCTTCTCGCTCTACGTGGCAGGCCGGGTTCCGCTCCAATTTGGGAAGTGAGTGTATAGACAATACGTCTATCTAAATTATATTATGTTCCTCAATCAGTGAGTATACAGAAAGTTTCGCGCAGTCAAAGAGAATAATCTGCAAAAGCAATAAAGTTGAACTCTACTCTTATTCTTATTTTTTTTTCTTGGGGCTGATGCGGATACGAAACCCTGACATAGCAACGCGGCAAGCTCGCATAGTTAGCCAGTAGCCACACCACTTTGGAAGGACACCTTAAAAACGAGTATTTAATATTTTCTAATTTCAAGATCTTCACTTAGGAGAGAGTTCTCGGTTTACTAAAATTTTTGGTCTTTGGAATGAATCACTTGGGCGCGTGGGGGATGGCGACAGTGAATGAAAAAAGGGGGGAAAAAATTCTCTCTGCCCATTAGGATGCATGCGGTCACCGATCGAATTCCCCGGGCCGATTTTATTCTTGTCCTATTCCGCAGTTGGCTTCAACACCAGTTAAAAACAATCAAAACAGGGTTATTAATTAAGTACGTTAGGCGTTATGTTACTCTTACTGCACTCAAGTACTACCACGACTCTCAGCAAATAGTAGTATTGCGTGGCGGCGACTGAAAGGATCTAATTTGTTACGACGACTGCGTATTCTTTTAACTCAGGGAGGCGGTTCGGGATATATTAGATATAATAGTTGATAGTTCATGAATGTGTAAGAATAAATGAATTCCTTTACCATAGCAGCTGCCCAAGGGTTGAACATCAGCAACGAGATAACGGCGAACACAGCGAATGCAATAATACAGATAGCGCAGAAGAGATTCCATCTGGAGACGAAGAAATTATTGAGCATTTTGCACTTTTTCAGTACTTAGCTCGAAACCTACCTCAAGAAGAGATACTGTTCCCAGAAAGTGAAAGCGAGACCGTTGGGAAAGTTTGGAAGGCCTTTGCTCGTGTAGAGATCGCACACTGCACGAACTTTCCTGAAACGTTTTCAAAACTAATCTGGGATCGCCGATGAAATTAAATTATAGCGATTAAGCTGAACGAATATATATCTTTATTGATCCTTAGTGAAGGGGCTCTGAAAGTATGCTATTTTCCTAACCTGAATTTGACCAAGGTTGGGGATAGGATCGCCCTCAAATCAAAAGAGCAACGCGCTCAGCCTCTTTCCTGCAGTGTTCCAATAAGATTCATGCATGGTAGTGAGGAGGACATTGTGCAATACGACGCTCTCAAGTTCAAAAGCCCTACGATGATTTTCCAACTAGTTAAGCGGTTCATATACCACTGTAACGTTTCTGGTGCCTAAGCTTCCGCAACAAACCAGTTGCTAGTGTTAACTCACCTCGATCATGTTTACTGTAACAGGTGTATCGGTGAGGTTTGTCTGATAGAACGGAATCTGAGAGTAGAGGAGTGGACGAGCTGGTGGTACGACTCCTTCATGCTGCAAGAATCAGTATTAAGTTAACGCTTATTTATTGTATTATTTTGATCGTAACAAGGGGGGCTAGTAAAAGCTTTCCGTAGTGCTACGGCCCAGCACGCTGCTCGAAAGCCCCGCGATTCCAGTTCGATACCCCGCCTGTAGGGATTGCCATAATATGAAATCGATGGCTATACATAACTGCACGAAGTGAATGCAGTGTATGTACTTCAAGACGTACATAGAAGCGGCAAGTAGAATTGTGGGTACCTCCGCACGCTCTTGGTCCAAAGGACCAAATTCGGAGATGTCAATTTCAACCAGGCCTCAAGCAAGATTTGCACAATTATGCGTTACCGAAAGAGGTAAGCAAACCAGCCCTTTTGGCGTTTCGGCTGGGACCGTATGCTGAATGTTGGGGAGGGGATGGGGTCCCCAACGGTCGACGGTTTACTTCAACTCGGTTGGTACGATAGGAGAGTACTGACGCAAGTGGTGCAGCTGGTCCAGCAGCTCCGCCAGAAGGGCTGGTTTGCTCACCCCAGGACTAAGCCTTGGAGAGGGGACGGACCCGTCCTCTCTTTAAGGCTTAGTTCTGAGGTAAGCACCAAATTGTGGCGGTTCTAAGGACCGAGTTGAAGTGGTCCGTCCACCGTCGGGGACTCCATCCCTCCCCAACATTCAGCATACGGTCCCAGCCGAAGCGCCAAAAGGGCTGGTTTGCTTACGTCTGGGATCCTCAGTTGACACCCAACTCTTTGCGAGAGGAAAAACATCCATCAAATTCCGAAAATCATTGTATAGTTCAAACTGTATCCAAGCTTGACTACGAGTCCGAAAGGAAATAGAGTGCTTGGCGCATTGCGAAAGGTTCTATTGCACTACCTTATTAATAATCAAGCAATATTCAAATTTGTACGCAAATCTCAAACTCTCACCGGTCCCATTTGCCATGATGGTGGCGTTGGTTGGAACGAAGCCTGTGAGACGTAGTACATCATGTTTTGCGTATTATACCATGCATCAGTAATATATATCGAACTCTCGGTCGAATTATACCGTCTCGACCATGATTGAGGGCTGAGACCGACCTGAAGTCCTGTTCATTAAGAAGCCATCAAGCGGACTTCTAAAGTTCTGGTAGTCAGGGCTATCGGCACTCCTATTTGGACCGCCTGGACCCGCGGCCACATGGACCTTTCTTGGGCCTGGACTGACAGGCTCAAATGCGATTACCTTTGTGAAACGATAATGCGATGTGTGTGTGTGTGAACGTCTAGGCTCAGCGACGAATTTTCTGTACACAAAGAAAAAAAAACACAAACGGAGGAAACCCGTTCATTAGTAAGAGCGAAAAGATCTATTTCAGTCTAGGAGGGGCATCGCGATGCAGTTCTTCCAGAACGCTAAGGTAACTCCGAGCCAGGGGGAGTGTAGCCAGTCTGAAGGGGGAGGGGGTGAGAGCAGTCACTTGACGTGCGTGAAAAGCTGGAATGTTCGAGATCACCGAGAAACTACATCGAGAAAAGTAGAAGCCCCTATTTTTGCATACGAATTAATACAACGTAGTGGACCAGACGGATTTATACACAGTAAACCGTGAACCTGTTCTTGAAATTGTAAAAATTTTTTAACCCTTAGGGAATTCACATTAAGCCGTTTATAACTTACTCGGCCAGTGCAGTTGTACGTGTGGCCATAGGAGCAGATAAGGCGTCGTGCAATCATCGACTCTGGAGCAGGCTTCATCTGAAAGTACGGTAATTTAGGCAGCAAACAAGCAACGCAGACAATAATCAACCTCTGGATCGTCCATATCATTCCATTTATTTACCCATTACTCTGGACAAGGGGAAGGGGAAGTCCTCTTTTTCCACATTTAGCAGGATATGTCGTTCCTTTCATACATAGAAGCATGAATTGCTCGATGTTCGAAATCGGAAAATTTGTTCTGATTTCCGGCTTGATTAAAAAATGGGACGAAATTGAAGCATAACACCAAAATAACAAGAGAATGATAGAGTGATATTCGGTGACAGTGCTATCTCCACTTTTTTCATTTCGAATCTACTGCTTCATAGCATTTCGTTATAAATTCAGTGACCTATATCAGGCAGAATCCCCTCTTACCCATTTTTCACTATATTCGTAAGACGACTCACGGGGTCGCACGCGCCTTACACGAAGGAACTTGGAAAAGCGACCAACGAACTTCCCCCTGATTGGAGCTCCGGTGACAGGGTCCATGAGACCACTTGCTTTGTCTTTCTCAAACGCGACTTGCAGCGACTCGAGCCATACTCGAAGCATTGACATCCAATACGGTTGGAGTTTTCCGTTTGCTTTCACAATGAAAAACTCGTTGCACCTGAATCAGAGAAAGAGAAATCAGAAAAAAATGCCGTACATTCAGGGGAGACCCTATCTCCTTCTTCATAAATCATGAAATCTCGTTGATGCTAATAGAAAACACAAAAATCGGCTGACCAGTTCACTTTAGGATGCGTCACTATCTCAAAAGTACACAAAGAATAGAAAAAATTACCATGAAGAAAAATAACAAATGAATGAATGTAAAAGCCAAGTAAGAGTGAATGAATAACACATAATAAACACTGCGGCTCTCTCAGTTTGCACAGTATTAAAGGAGATGGTTGGAACAAGTTTCCAATAACTTCGCATGAGTTCAAGCTTACCCCAAAGCTTCTCTATACTCTTCGATGAGAGGCTTGCTTATGGCGGAATGTCAACTGGTCGACTCGAAGTACGGGCATACGATTTGGAGAGAATAGAAACATACTTCTTCTCGAGCTCTGAAATATAGTGAATCTTTCGCTCAGAGAAAAAACTAGAATATTGTATCTCGCAAAAATGCTTTAGATGATAGCATACTTTATAGTGTGGACCGAATTACAAGAAGATAAGTTGGACCTAAGATCGACAAAAAATCTAGAGACAAGGGTGATGAAATTGGTCCTATAAAGTAGTGCGGAAAGCTGAGAGGCGAACGGTTGGCAAATCACCATTGGTGGACTGCACTAATTGGGGACAGTCGACACAACCACCGCTCAACTCGTCCAAATGGTACGGTTATCTACCGTCGCCATCTTTCCCTAACTACCAATTGTGAGTCGTTCGTACGAAATACAAACAGAAAATACCAATTAGGCAAGGGTTGGATAGCGAAAATAACGGCAAGTGGCCGCTGTATTAACAGAATCAAAACATCTGGTCATTTTGTCCATTGTTCATCATTTGTCATCATCATCATCATATATGTTTGTAGACCAATTCATGCAATGGTCTTCTAGGACTTCCTAACTATTTTGATCCTCCGATTATTGTGATATTATTTCTAGCTGAGTTTCTTCCTTTTTAAAAATCAACTGCCAATTCTTCTGAGCTCAGACCTCATGAATGCGGCTGGTGCAGTGTTCTCTGGCAAAACGTCAGCCAATTCCAATCCGAGCGTCGTGGTATACATTCCGTACAGACCGAACGCTACTCCGCACAGGGTTGTAAAATCTACTGACTGCCTGAATTATGCCTTTTTTAGGTTAGGTAGCATATATAGCGGCAAGTTCCGCTACGCTTACGCTGACAGTTTTCCACTTTTCAGGCAAAGGATGTACAAGGTTGGTAAGGAAAACCGCCACAGATGCTGTACCATGGTTGATCACGAGTGTAGGCCTCGATGTAGGTGGGATTTGTGAGATCCGCCTTAGAAGACACCTATATGAACAGGGAGCAACTGGAGCTAATTATCTTCGCTATCGCTACTATTAATAGATCTGCATTTCAGCAACACTCACATTGGTTGAAATTTCCGCTGAGCTCTTCTCGGAGACCTTTTCAAAATTTGGGATCACTTGGTCCACAGTAGACGAGATCGCGTTTGCCAGAATACGAAGCGTCTGCGCAGATTAAAAGCAGGGAAGACGAACATCAACGACGCCAGGTTGAATGCCAGTAATACGGCAGTCTGAAAGGAGTGAAGTTTAGGATAGAAAAAAATGAATTCGTTGGCACGGAAGCGTTTGTTAGGATGAGCCGCGCATACGATTCCTCTTGAGAATTTTGGTAGAGTTCCATGGCGTCGTACTTGCCTCGTACAATTACAGATGACTTTCCGGCTTTCCTTTCTCTCAGATCAGTTCTATATCAATGAATCGATCCAGGAGAAATGAAAAGCTTAGACCCTCGAATTTGTGATCTAGCCGGGATTTGGTTTTACATTAGGGGCTGGTCAAGTTGCTGTTTCATCCAGCCATGATGAGGTGAATGAGAAATACGATTTACGTGGAACTGGAACGGGGAGACATAAGGTACCGGTCCTCGACCAAGCATGAGTCCTGAAGTAAAAACGTAGCTGAGCCACCTTTTAAAAGCTAGGGTAAGCATGAAAATGATTTCGGAAGACGTCTGCAGAAAAGAAGTTTGGGAGAAGATGCTTCGAAGAAAAATATTCAGCATACATTGTAGGATCATAGAAGATATTGAGCAGATAGCTAAAGAAAAGCTGGACGAGTATTCCTCCCAATTCCAATAGCCATTTGACGCTTCGGAGTGAGCATGCGATTAAAAACCACCGCGGTGCGTCTTTGAAAAGTGGTCATCTCTACTCTCTCAAAAACTTCGCCCCACAATTGGCACACTTGCACCTGATAGAGCAGAGTCAAAAGACACGTCCACATGGATTAATGGGAGCCTTCGAACAATATTCTGAGCCACGGCTTTAGATAGCTAGAGAAGATCTCTAATACCCTTCAAGGCATGAGTTGCGATCGAACTGGAATGTTATTCTGCTTGGTCATGGAGCAGGATTTGCGAAATCATGTGAAGAAAAAAAAACAAGAAAAGAAAACAAAAACAACCACAGAAAACTCTGGAATCACCCATCCTTTCCTTGTAATATCGGACGTGGTAATACGAAGGGACACAGCGCGTCGAGGAGAGGGAATACGCAAGCGAGCACGCCGTGAGAGAGGGTCCAGACACCGCGTATGCTGCGAACAGGTAATATTGGCAGCGGTCGCAGCGGTCGAAGCAAAGCCTCAGCGCCTTGTCGCGCACTCTCGAGCGCGACAATGCCAAAGAGACTCCTACACTTGGAGACTCTGTTACCTCATAGAAAGAATTGAGCAATAGATTCCATACAACCTGTGTCTTTTACCTATGGCAGAATAAGAAGAAATCAACTCCAACCTGGGAGCAGAACGATCTCAATGCAGGAATTGGCAAGACGTAGCCGGCACAGAATGCAAGAATGTTGTTGATGGATGTGACCATAACGGACATGCCTGAAATGTTACAACATGAGGGATTTGGCAGGGATTCGTCAAAAAATTAAGGTAATTCGCCGAGCCGCACTCACCGGTTTCCTTCAGAAGGATTCCCATTTCATTCTTCCGCATAGTATGACTGATCTCATCGTAGTTGTGCAACAACAAAAACATGTCATCAATTCCAAGCCCAAGCGACAAGAATGGAACGATCTGAAATTTGTAATGAGGCTCTAAAAAAACCTTCAGAACGCGCCTCCTCTCCTTCGCCAACGTCAGATATCTTTATCTACAAAAAATTCCAACTCGCGCTGCTCTTACCTGAGTAGTGGCAGCATTGAAGTTGATTCCGATTGCGGTCGACAAGCCAAGACCACAAATCGAGGCGTAGGTGACGAGAATCACACCGACAAACGAAAGCGCCACATTCGACCTGATGGCTAACCAAGCGACCATCGATTCTGGCTTGAGTGAAGGCGGCGTAGATCACCTGAGCGCTAACTGTAGTTACTTTATCGATATTGCTGCACAAAAATTTTTTTTATGATGAAATCTTCACTGTTGAAAAAACAGCGCTCAACTCCTTAAAAGCAATTCAAAGGAATGGCCTCTTGAAAAATCATATCGGTACGCTAGAAAAAGCCTATTAGAGGGAGAAACGCCAAGAGAAACGAAGATTGCTCACCAAGCTCGAAGCCTCCACTTCGCCCTAAAGGCCGCAGCCCCAAGTTTTTCTGTAGTGGCTCACTCCTTCAATGCCTCCTAAAACAAAGTGGCGGCCGGAAAAGAGCCTTTCCCGCATTGAGGTGAGAAGCAAGCCCTGGCCCCAACTTTGCATTGGGTGCCCCTTCAAAAGAAAGGCTCCGATTGAGTACGATCAATTAAAAAAAAACAGAACATTAAACCTTCGAGGGCCGCGTGATAATGCGAAATTAAATTCTAAATAGAGGTGTTGTAGGAGTCCATGGGATTCCACGCGGCCTGTACTATGGGATCTAATACATCGGCCCATAATACCGTATAAGGATAAAGCATTTGCCGTTGATCAAGCCCTTTGGGATGCGGCACTACTTCCTTTTGTACATTCGTAGTGGCGTTTGAATGCGATGTGGCCTATACAATGACTTGCGGGGGCCAGCCGATGTTCAAGTCAGTGTTTTTATCCTCCCAGACAAGTCTGGTACCAATTAACCGACCCCGGAGGGATGGAAGGCTTGGTTGGCCCGGGCGACTCACGACCCAGGATTTGATCCCCGGACCGCTCGCGTGGTAAGCGTGCCACTTGCCACTGCACCACTTCCGCCCCCAAATACCGTATGGAGGACCTCAAGATTCGCCCACATGTTTGCACTGGTGCAGAATGGAATCAGCTTTGTTGCTGATTGTGGTACATATCTTTTCAATATCCAACCCACACGTGCTAGCATTCGAAATCATTCGGCGGTAAGCGGTGACCTCTGCCGTCGGGGACTAATAATCAAATCCAAGAGCAATTTTGGTCGGCAGGAACCCTTATCTAAGCTATCTTGGAAAATGCTTTCAAGGCTAATCAGCGGATATATTGGCAATTTTGGACAGCTTACCATAAGAACATATCCAAGAATGATGATAGTGTAGTTGAACTGGGAGAATTCCTCGAGCATATCGGCTATGGAAGTGGAGGCCAGTGGATGGAAAACACGTTCTTCCGTCTGGAAAAGTCACGAAATTACAGTGATCTTGGTGAAATTCCAACATTCAGGCATTGCGTGCGTTCTAGCCTTCGAACTCTTCACTGCCTAGTTTAATGAGATCCCATAGAGCAACAGTTCTTCCCTAATTTCTGCAAGGACTTATTTCCTGCTCTTTTAATCCTTTGATCCAAGCATTCTAAGCCGAGGATATTTTATACAGTAATGTTTTGTAACCAACGTTTTTATTAGCTTCGTGCCCATAAAGCCTTTTGGTGAAGTTCCTCTGCCAGCCGAACACAACATCCGCTGCCCAGCCAGGATTCCACGTGGCCACATCCAAGTTAGGTGTGTTTCTTTCTTTTCCTGAATTTCACTCTTAGAATATCTAGACCGATAACTTCGCAATAAGCTTCGACTTCTCAAATACTACTTTTTCAAGACAATACCTTAAATCTGATGAAAACATCGAAAGGACTGGCAACGAGGAACACACTTTGTAGAGCTTCTGCGGAACTAAGCTTGCCGCTACTGCGTTTAATTCCTGGAAATGCATATTTTTGAACAAAAATATACAGTTTATGTCGGTCGTTTATCTGTTTGTCTGCAGAACCTTTTTTACTTTTTCAGCACATCCTTCGCACATGCAACGTTTATTACTACCCATGAAACTGCAACATTTGATGAAAAATCGGGAATAAAAAATAGCAAAAATCGAGAGTAGTCCATTTAAGGTCATGGCCTTCTTTCATGAGTTATAGAGCAGTTTGCGGTAATGCTTTCATAACTCGAAAATGTACAAAATAAAAGATTTCCTTCCACGAGTTGCCTTCCTGTACGAGAGTGCTAAATCTGCTTTGCGCATGATGAATTTTAGCCACGCCCTACTTGAAATCGTAAACCTCTTCTCAAATGAAGATATCATTGTGCTGAACATAGCCACGTGTCGGGAGGTGTCAAGAAGGACATAGTCCTTCCCAAAGTGGAAAGAGTTCTCCAATCGGAGGAGGCTCCGACGCTTTCTGTAGCGCATTCTGCTCGTATTCCCAATAACGTTTCTCACAGCGCTTCTTGTCTAATTTTTTTGGCAAAATAACACAGAAATTTCGATCCCGACCCATACCTTTAAGGCTACACGTAATTAACTAAACCTGTTAGAAAGCGTGGAGGTGGTGTTATGGGCAATTGGCGCTGCTTGCCAAGCGCTATACGAATTTGGAATTAAGATGTCGGTCAGACTCTGCGATTGCATCGCGCGATGCAGTCGCTCTTGCAATGTGCACAAGCGACGGGCGATTGGCATCGCTCCAAAGTGCGAGCGACGGGAGATTTACCCCGCCGACGACCGATACACACGGCGCCGCTCGGGTAAATCTCCCGTCGCTCGCACTTTGGAGCGATGCCAATCGCCCGTCGCTTGTGCACATTGCAAGAGCGACTGCATCGCGCGATGCAATCGCAGAGTCTGACCGACATCTGAGTCATAGGCCGTCCGGGCGACCAGAGTCATCCCCCGGGGTCGGTTAATTGGTACCAGACTTGTCTGGGAGGATAAAAACACTGACTTGTACATCGGCTGGCCCCCGCAAGTCATTGTATAGGCCACATCGCATTCAAACGCCACTACGAATGTACAAATGGAAGTAGAATGCGTGCCGCATCCCAAAAAGGGATTGATCAACGGCAAATGCTTTATCCTTTATCCTTCATGTGAAGCCTCCAAAAGCTTCTACTAGGTATCTCGGAAATTCAACAAAATCAGGAATGTTTTGAAGAGAGACCAGTAATGTCAGCTCTCACTAACCTCCAATGATGAGATCTTCAGGCCATTCCATAATCGTTTTACCAAAGCCTTTACAGCCGCCTGTCATCACCTGAAAGTCATCGGATGTACATAGGCCCTTGAAGTCTCGTAAAGACACCCAACTTCGTTGGGGTAGCCGACATAAGGCCCGTCGCGCGGCGAGATGGCAGAGGCACAGAAGGGACAGCGGACGAGGCGCAGCGATTTGGCTTCCAAGATAAGATAGACTATACTATAGACATTCCACTTCACACAACACATGTTGCGACTCGTCCGCTGACCCGTCTGCGTCTCTGCCTTCTCGCCGCGCGAGGGGGGCTTACTGCGTACTCTCCTCACTAGAACTCGAAATAACGCTTGAATATATAGTAGTGCAGGAGGCCCGTCACGCGCGAACGCGGCAAGTGGCATCTTATAATTGAAATTCATGGGTCAGTTACCGCACCCAATAATCTCGACATCACATAGAGAGTTCTCGGATATTCATTACTCTGCTTATCTCTTTTTGCTTTTTTTATCTTACTCTTACTTTTTTCTTGGCCAACTTTGAGGGATTGCTTTCGCGTACGCAGAGAGCCGCTCTCAGGAAGGGAGGTGATTAACCGGATGTCTAATCTTCAGAGTTCGCTCCGAAGTCAATATTATCGGTATCCGACGTAACCTTGCACAACCTTGAAGCAACGCTCCCAGCAGGCTTCTTCCTTCGACACTAATGTGTGGATTGATGCGCTAGCCCTAGCCAAGAAGCATAAGAAGTTGAAGTTGAACAAAAAATGGGCGCTCATCCAGTAAGGGGGCATCAAGTGGCTGCCCTCACCCCCACCCCCTAGACTGCCTACACTCCCCCTGGCGCACAGGTTTCTCGAAGTACGGGACCCCGTGAGCCAGGGGGAGTGAAGCCAGTCTCAGGGGGTGGGGGTGAGGGCAGCTATTAGACGTTGCATCACAATGCCCCCCTTACCGGATGAGCGCCAAAAACTCACATTGGAAGCCGCTAAAAAGGAAGCTGAACGGCTTCAAAGTGGGCGTGGTTGGAATCGGCCGAGGGGACTGCACAACCACGCCCACTTCGAAGCTGTTCAGCTCCCTTTCTAGCGGCTTTCCAAGGTGAGTTTTTTGTTCAGTCACACTTCTTATGTTCTTGACTAGGGCTAGCGCATCGTTCCACACCATTAGTGTCGAAGGGAAAACCCTGCTGAGACTGCTGCTTCAGTTGGTTTAATGCTCAAGTGCTACACAACTAGCCAGGAATATCCCTTTGTCCCCGATGGACCACTTCGCGCTAAAAGCCAATTCTCAGAAATCGAATACCACCGTGCCGACGCCGCAATTACGTCCACATAACTTCTAATGTGCTATTGCAATACCTCATCATAATCCGGATCTTTCGGCATTTCTTTCTGAGTCAAAAATTCTCCCCATCGATCACGATTCGCGCTCATCCACTTCAGCAACGATTCGCCGTATTCCAAGCACATCAGCTCCTTAGGATCCATCTTGTGCTTGGAATGCGCTGAAATAAGAAAACTTCAAATTGTGGCGATCTGTTAGAGCTTATTGAGACTGGCTTACATGCATTGGTAATTGTGACGTCATAATCGGAATCTTCATATGCGTAGTAGTCCTCGTCTTTTGCGCTCGGTTTTTGTGAGCCCGTCGTTACCCTACTGCCGGGAGCATCGCGTTTCTTACGTCCTTAAATTTATGTATAAAACTTTTCACTCGGTTTTCACTCACTATGTCATTTGACCTACGAGCCATTCGAAAGCAAGAACATCTTAAAAATCATCAGATAGGTTGGAATGGTGGAGGTGCCGTCAAGTGGGGCTTACCGAGCATGATGAGAAATTTCTTTCCTTAGATTTGAGGGTTTTTGAAACGGAAAAGCCGAAAAATAAGCGAAGATATAAAAATTTAGAAAAGACGAGGAGAGGATATGAAAAGCTGAGAAAGCAGAGGAAAGCGGTGAGAAGGGCACAGCTGATGCGAATTCGCGTCCCCAAGTTAGCCATTCACCCACCAAAGTATACTTGCAAAACCATAAGTAGGTTGGTTATGCATTCAGGGCAGGGATGTATACTAGAAACAGAAAGTAGGATACTATTTGCAGAATAGTAGAGGTATGGTTATATAGTTAAGTTTGAACCATATTGGCAAGGTTCAGAGTATTATATTTTTGCCTCTCCCTCAAGGTGCTCCTCCATACATGCCATGCCTCTCCCCTCCTCCATATAAGCGATTTTACCCGTTGCCCTCAAGCCGTGAGGGTAGAGAATGGCATAGCATGTCCGCTCACGTTGTGAGCATCAATATCATTAAGAATGCTCCAGCGCTTGAAATCGTTGGGCTAAAACCAGGCGAGATTTGATCCGGATTCTACCCCCGATCATGTGCGAAGTCGCACGATGCCTTTATCAGTTTCCGCTGCAGCCCTTACCGCTCATCTCGAAGGACTAGAGCGCGAACAGATGAAGAACAAAGATCGTCTGAAGGCAGAGCCAACCTCGGAAACCAGCGAAAAGTCTACCAACCTCTACTTGGTTAAAAAATATTATAATTATTTGATTAAGAAAAGGAAAGGGAAAAGGTTGGTATTCACCGAAAATGTCGTTGATGATGGTTTCGGTTAATTGTGCTGCGCTATCCGGATCCTCCTTTTTCTCTTGGTATGGCTTACGTTCGAGTTGAATCTGTAATTGAAGGCGTTCTCCGCAGGGTTTTAATAATACAACAATTATTGAAATTTAGAAAACTATGAGATCCGCAGCTCGCTGAGTTCCATAACCTTAACTATTCTGGCTTTCCAAAAAAAATCGTTTTGCTAACTTTAAAAATTTGTTGATTGGCGAGGACGCCTCTGAATAGTATTAGTATTCTCTCAGGATGATAACGGCATTTTGAATGCGTTTGGTCCCCCGTAGTACATATAATACTTGTGGAGCCACCTAGCAAGCCTGTTCGAAGTACACGAACACGCTCATGCGATGGATCAAATAATTCTTTACCCAAACATTTTCTCGAGATCGATATTCGAGGCTTGCTAGTTCCGTCAGTACACTGATTCTTTCTCTTTAAGAAAGTTTAGAAACTTCAATGGGTGTGCGTCATATGGCGCGATCCCATTGGCATTGGAGCGCACAGGCCGTAATTACCACATCCTGCTGTGGCCGGACAACTCGTCCGCGCAACACATTCTGTTCCGTTCCTCTTGCCTTGGCATCAGGCCAGCGAAGCTATCCGCTCTTTTTTAGATCCTTGGGACTCAGCGAGATTTTTGAGACCCAAATTATCAGATCGATCAATTACAGAAGTCTGGTAGTTGAGTGATACGGACGAGTTGTCCGACCGCAGCAGGATGGGGCAATTGCGGCCCGCTCTAATGCCATTGCGCCATATGACTGCCTCCCAGCTTCAATGATGGTTACTTTTGGGGAACGTCCTTTATGTACGTAGCTAAGTGATGAAAGCTTTGCCAACCTTTTCAGCGTCTGGTTTCGCCATGTTCCATTCATTAAACTTCTCCATCGCAGTACAACGGTCGAAGTAATTCGGCGAAGTCTTCGGGCATTCGGGATCCAGCGGTTCAATGCAGGGCCGATCTGTATATGCTGCACCAATACCAGCCTGAAATTGTTGATCATGAAGGGGATACGATAAAGTAGACGAGAAAAACTCAAAAAAAGGAAAAAAACAACTTGCCCTCTCGAAGAAATTTCCTATTGGTCCAAGATCGAAGAGTGCGCCGACTTCGGCCATGACAGCGGTTGGGTTCAAATTCTTCCACGACACGTTACCCTTTGGTAGTGAAGTGACGAAACCACTAATTTCTTCACTATAAATAGAAGTTTTCATTCCTCAGAGACAAGCGGGCACACCAAAAAGCCCAAAACCTAGGGCTTTATGGAGGCAGCTGGTATTCAAGGTGGCCCAAAACAACTATTTTTAGTCATTTTTCACAGCAGGTGGACTGCTCTTGAATCCCATGTGTTACAGTGGATTCAGTTTGTTCGTTTCGAAGAGACACTTCCACTTTGTAAGTAAGAAATAGAAATGAAAAATATGAAAAGTGAAAGTACCCGAGGTTGATTGGTGGATCAGGTCCCAGCGGTTTCGATCCTTCCCAGTAGCAATCAATTGGTGTGATCCATATACAAGGAATCATTTTGTCGAGCAAAGAGTTCATCAGCTGCAACGTAAAAGTTACTGAATTGATGGTTGGAAGCAGCGCTTGGTAGGCATGATAGGGGAATTCTATTTTGTCATCTATTTGAAAAGTTATCAATCTAAGTAAAGTAGGTCTAGCGGTTCATGAACTACTTAAATTTTTCCCAATCGTCCTGTCGCAAATGGATGAAAATAAATGGTCAGAGAAAGCGTCTGGCTCGGCTCCAAATCCCAAGGAGGGAAGGTGAGAGCCTTAGGACTAAGCCTTGAAGGTGAGGGGACTCCGAGGTGGGTGAGCCAACAACAGTGTGACAAAGTTTGTCATGTGTCATGTCGTAGGCATGAGCCGCTGTTTAGGCAAGAGAGCACTGGCGGTAACAAAAATCGAGCCGGTTCAAAGGTCTGAGTTCAAGTAGTCCGTACGATTTCTAGCTAGCATGCTGCGTACCACCACCCTAGTGGAAAGACTCACTGCCCGCTACTTTATTACTTGTTTGGCCGGAACAACTTATGGCGCTTAAAAAATTCTGCAGAATTTTTCGTAATAGTCTGTTGTGTACTTGCTTAGCGTTTTACTGTACGACCACAAATGACACTTACAAATAGTCATTATTTGGCCGGAAAAGTAATTGTAACCCACCTTGGCTAACGGCCCATTAGTGAGTTTTGGGCTAGGCGGCTTGAAGCAAATATCACTCAGCGTCCATTTCCTGAAAATGAAAAGTTAAGGGGCCGAATTATTCCACGGAGCACCGAATTTCGTATTGCTTATGTTATCGTATTTCGGCACATTGGATCAGCCATGTTCCATGAAAAACCGATCCTTATCCTTACTATCTAATTAAACGAAGCTAGTCACAGGCACATCGCCATTTAATAGGTATCGCACATTGCAGAAGATCCCCTTGCTTATGGCCCAAAACAAAAGTCTCGTGGTAGTTTGGGTCGACTAACAATGGAAGAGATCAAGCAACTCTTCAAATATCATTGCGCACCAATCACATGGGTGGGATCACGATCCCGCCCCTAACTTATTTGATACGGTACAAACAATGAAGAGGCGGATCAACCAATGAAAAGGAAGGGCCGATGACGTGATCTCTGTCAAACAGTGGGCGCACAATTTGATTTTAACGGTCTTAGAATAGCATTCTTGCTTCTATCTTCAATACTAGTTGTCCTAACAACTATTTCTTGCCTTGTAACACCCAACTACCAACGGCTAAAAATCGCGGAGTATGCCTTTAAGGTAGCGCTCTTTGTAGTAACTTGACGTATCTTCTTATGGTTAACATCTTAGTAACATTCTGTGTTTCGTCTTCAACACTAGTTGTCCTGATAAACCATTTCTTCCTTGCACACCAATAACCAACAACTAAAAATCGGAGTGTGGCCACTTAGGCAGCGGCTTTTGTAGTAACTTGACGTATCGTCGGTCACGAGGCGTTCGATTTGGCAATTCTGGCAACAATTTACCGAAAAAGGATTAGACAGAACAAGATAATTCCCCCCCCCCCCCCCCCGCTCGATGGCCGTTTTGGAGAGAAAATGTAGGCAGAGTCAGAGCATTTCGACTTTCTCCGAATCAAATACTACAGAAACAGCCACGAGAGCGAAGGTGGTAGTCACAGAGGGGCGAGGGGCCCTTTAAAGGATAGGGTCGTCAAATTTTTGGAATGGTAACAGCGGATGTTGACCCTCCTTGAGACAAGGCAAACAATCTCATCGAGTTCTTGTTCGATCACTTTCAATTGGGGCCCGATCTGGAAGGATGTTCAAGTGGTTTTTATATTATCCCACTCAATAAAACGTACTGCCCCCCTTCCCATCATTGCACTGGCAATGCATCGTTTGTATTGAATGGAAACTTACTCGCCATACAATCAACCTCGTATTTCGAGATCTCTTCCATTAGTTTGACATGCCGCAGTAGTGACTCTTTTGATAATACGTTCTCCTTTTCTCGTACTGGTGTTTGAATGACAAGCTGAAAGGAACTTTTGATCAACTGAGCGTGATACGTGGAGCTTGAAATTCCTGCGGAAAGGTTGATCAAAGAACATGTTCTCTGTTACCAACCGCCATACTATTGAGACACGAGGGCCCAACTGAGGGTGTATTGTTTCAATAATGTACGGTCACAAAATAATAATAATAAATAATAATAAATAATACGGTCACATCTAGATCATTAACAGGTGACTCTACCATTTTACCAGGGTGTTTCAAGCGGGTAGCTTCGTTTGATACGAGAAAAAGCCAGCACGAACGAAAGTGTTGGCACTCCTTAGTCCAAAGATAGCTGCCAAAGGACTCCCGGTAACCAACGCCACAGCGAACCACAACTTGATAAAGCAACAACTCAGACCGAAATGGTGGAGTAAAGAGTTGTCGATACATGACATATAGAATGCTCCCTCTCTTTCTCGCTTGCGATAAGAGAAGCGACGGCCGGACGCGTATGTGCTTAGTTGCTTGCTCCACGGCATCCACTGTCTCCTATTCGAATTACCGCTAGCACTTGGCCCGCCACCCAAGCACGATATCTCCACGGAGCTAATGGGCTGTTCTTAAAGGAATCTTCCACGGACCATGGACCAGTGGGCGGGACCGGAAGTGGTTTTGCGACGAAATGCATGGTAGGTACGGATCCACGTTCATGGGAAGGTTTGAAGTGAATCCTGTTCACGTTCGTGCGTTCGACACGTGGATCCGTACCTACCATGCATTTCGTCACAAAAACTTCCGGTCCCGCCCACTGGTCCATGGTCCGTGGAAGATTCCTTAATATTGTTACCAAACCCCAGCTGGAAGGGGTTTTCAATCATACTCTATCTCGGCTCTTTTCGTTGATGGACACTGTAGAGTTAAACCTGGTACCCAAAACCTTTCCAAAAGTCCGCCGGATAGTAGTGAGTAGGGCCTACCGCTTGCTTAAAAAATGCTTCGTTATGATCCAATTGTTCAAACTTTGACGATTCCCCCCCCCGTTCTTCCAAAATCTCAGATGCGATTTCCCCAGTGAGTTTCCAGGAGGGATTGTTGCCGTTTTTGATCACTGTGTGTGTTTGAGCCCAAGTTCTACACCCCCGGAAACGATTCTTTGAATGACAACAGTGTTATGAATTCCCCATAAACATGGAAATCACCTGAAAGCCTCCGCCAAGGCCATTTTCACGTGGCAGATCTGGTCCACGCCGTACTTCTGCGTCGATTGCGTCATCTCCAACGTCACGTTTGGATATCTGAAAAAGCAAGTAGATCACTTTTATGTAGCACTAGCCACAAGTCCAACTCTTATGATGTAATCTGTACTTGTTAAGGGCAAAGCATTAGAGATCGATCAGTTCCTGTCTGGGATGTGCCACGCACTCTTTTTCTATTTTACTGGCATCAGAATGCGATTTTGCCTGCTTAGCGGTAACGCATGGGTGCTAGGCGATGAATTCAGTATTTTTGTACAGATGGACTGCCGAAAAAGAAGAACCAAATGTTTTTTGAAGAAAATTGCAAGAATCACAAAATGTGGCTTTTCAGTAAACCTGATAGCAATTAACGAATGGAACAGAGACAAACAGCGCAGATTATTTAGTGATAAGTAGAGCCCGGTGTAGGCGCGACTTCGAATCAAGCCCAGGCCGACCAAGCCCGTTGCCCTTTGTGGGTCGATTATTTCCTCACATCTGACCGTTGCATTTATTTTATGCTAGCTCTTGTGCGAGGCTTAATTGCTTCAAAATGCTATTGAGATTGATCGGAACGGAACGTGAAAAGTTGTGGCACACCGAAAAATTTGTGTTGGTGAGGGGAGGGCATTCGAATCTTTTACATGGATAGGGGGAGGAGCGAAAGTATTATACTTTCCGCTAAAGGAGCACTCATAGCTGGCGATCGCACGTGCGATTAGGCGAGTAGGCCAGCAGTTGATAAGATAAAGAAATGCATATTGATTCGTTGCTCCTCCCAAGAAGTATCCTCCTAATCGCCCGATCGCCTAATCACCTAATCACCTAAGCGCCTAATCGCTTAATCGCTTACTCGCCTACAACGCTATAGGAGGAGCAAACAATCAATACGTATATAGTCTTCCCCGCCTAATCGCCTAATCGCCTGATCGTACGTGTGGTCGCCGACTCTGAACGCTCCATGGGCCTTTGTATCAGAACGACATATGATCGGAGATCAGGAAAAAGGTTCAGATTCAGGTAAATAAATTAATTCAAAAATTTTATCAGCAAAAAGCGCAAAAAATAAAGTCAGCTAAGAAACCATACCCGATTTGCTTCTGCTCGCACTTTGTCAAGAAAGTTCATCTCTTCACTTAACCGACCACCTTCTGAAGCAAAAAATACTCTTTCAATAGAAAAAACCTTTGTAAATAAAACAATTAAAAAGGTTCGTTTCGCAGTCATATTGATTTGCATTTTTCGAAAAATTTGTATAAAACATTGGAATGAAGTGAAACTCACGTTGAACCCATAGCTTAACAATATCGGTCTCTATAACAACATCTTTCAGGCCGTAGCAACAAATCGTATATAAAATTGATCTGAACATTTAACATTTTCGTAAGAACTTAGACAAATTAATTACAAGTGGAGCCAAAATTTTTAAAAATTCTTCAGGAAAAAAATCGGGATTAACTCACGAAATAATAACAGTTGACCATGCATACTTCTGAACGAAGCACCCGATATGAAAGAGGTAATATTGAAAGAAACTTCTCGCATACAACGCGATTCGATTTCCTCTGAGCGTCCTGGAATCGATTATCGATCAAAAAATATGGGTTTTGGTTTTTCATAAAACTTTATATGATAAGCGATTGATTACCCTATTGATCTGCTGTAGTGACATGTCGGCATCGCACCACGTTGGCGCATGGCTGAACTTCTGCTTCCAGGCTTCTGAGAAATCGGCCGAGTCAAATTTCCGATCATATACGATCGACATACTAAATCAAGGAGATGAAATATCATCTACCTCTTTTCTATCCTTACCCTTCTCATTGCTCACTTCCCACATCATTCATATAGTCCTTTTTTCTTCTGGACACATAAAGCAGCAGGATTAAGATTCGTATGATATGAATTTGTGGTGCAATACATGTGGAACGGTCACGCCGTATTTTTGAAGTACGGTTCAGGCGCGAAATGCGATGGCAAGTGGGATTTGCTGCCGTTACTATTACGTAGGCCCGAAATGACGAATTCGTGAGCCAGGGGAATACAGCCAATCGAGGACGAGTTACTGGGACATTACGAAAAGGCCTAGAATGTGCGAGGTACTTCACGCGTCTCGTCACGTATTGAAAAGGCCAACAGTCCCACTAACACACATTTCTCGCCTTACAGCATTTGAATATACGGTGCCTCCAATTTGTATTGCACCGAACTTGCATAACAATTGGTGTCTTTTTTAGCCGTAGAATACCCAAAAAATGCCGCTCAATTTATTATTGTATTCAGCTGACGTGCAATGTCACTGTAATGTATTTTCGTGTCAAAAAAGCTTCTCTATTCATGAAAACCAGGGTCAATCCACCGCCCCCCGGTAGCAAGAGGGTATGAGTGTTAACACTGAGTCGTGTGCCCATGTTCAATGGTTTAGTTCTTTGAACGAAAAGAAAAAGACGAAAAAATTTCACATTACGAAATGATGCCATACTTAGTAATGAGCTTTTTCATGGAAAACTTGTAAGAAAAACAGTTTTGAGCGAAACACCAGTAACAAGCTCGTGATTATTTCCCTCGTTTTTGGTAAACATACTTGCACGGTTTTCGATAATATATTCAGTTTATTTTTTTATTTATTTTACACAAGCATTTTTATGGTTGCTAAAGCGAAGTCTGCAATATCATGCAGAGAAACGGGCCAACTATGTGGTGAAAGCTCTGAACATTACCATTATCCTACATATAAACGCGTCCAGGAAGCTCGTGTCTATAGTTCAGGATACTATCAGCGCGATGTGATAGTGATTTTAACGATCTTTGGCAGTTCAGTTTTCTCTCGCTCTGATCACTGGGCCGTCTCAAATTTCATATCTGCTTTTATGCTTGGATAAATTAATCTATACCTCTCCGATCACTGAATGTGCCTTTGATGTTACGATCATATCGCAACAAACACTATGAATAGGAGCTCTCTATGAACTGAGTTTACTGACGTAGTCGTTAATTGGTGAAAGTCTTTAAACCTTGTGAATGATCGACGAGCGGTCGTCCTGAACTTCGAGGGCGCTATATGGACTTCTCAGGAGCCATTCGACACTCCCCGGCGGCATGCACAAGCGCTACGAGAGTGGATCTCACTATGCGAAAGTGTATAAACTCGCCGTCTACGGAAAGAAGGAGTCTCGAAGTGATCTAGACACAGTAAAAATTTGAAGGCGTACTTGGAAAAAGCCACGAAAGAAATTCAGCAAGAACACAAAAAGATTGCGGTGGTCGGCAATAAAAAGAATTTCAGAGTATAAAAAATAAATATCTCCGCCGTAGACTTGCAGATTGGGGAAGTATAAAAAACGGATTCAGCTTCCTTATGAAATGCATAACAGAGAGGATACTGAGGAGAAGAGGGGAATGGTAGAGCTACGTGAATGACGTTCTGTTGTCCAAGGATGAACGTATGGACGAAAATTTTCATGGTTATAACTGTTATTCTAACTAATGAAATCCGCTATCTTTGAAGGAAATTGGAAGAGAATCGTATAACTTCAAAGCCCCCCCCCTGAAAAACTGCCCAACGCGAAAGCCGACAAGGTCAATCTGTTTCGCCTTGCATAATACTGGGCAGAATTAAGTGCTCGAAATTAGCTGAAAAACACCTGGAGAGACCAGCTCGCGCTTGAAAGTTGGTGTTTGGAATAAGATGTAAATGAGTTAAGCGGAGCTTCACCCACGGGCGCACCGAAACTGATTGAGGCCAAAGAGAAAAGTTTCCATATCTATTTGGATTGTAGAAGATTCTAGAGCAGCCAATAGCGAGGTTTGATTTAAAAATGCCATTTGTGGTGGACGGAACGCCTTCCAAGTGACTGATGCTAGCTAAAAAATCATAGCTCAGCTATGGAAAGCACAAAAATTGTTTGAGATGGATAGTACCTATTCTATAAGGTACAATGTGCAGAACGTGTTATCAAGTGTTTAGGGTTCCTCAGAACTTCATTGAATGTGGTTCTCTGAAATCCCAGAAAAGGTGAGAAAAGGGGACTGAGGCTGAATTCGGTAAAATTTCCCATTTCAATATCGCCAAGGAACAGTGTTCTGGTTTATGATAGTGTGTGCGCCAAACAGGTAGTAATTATTGGTCACTTGATAAAACCGAATGGGAGTAAGAAAGAGCTCTCCCAAGAAAACATCTAGTGTTTTGAAGACTGCCAAAAAGCTTCCATTCCAAAGACATGGGCGGGTACCTGCTACAATCGCTATAAGGGCGGTTTCTAAACAATAATAGAGGTGATTTTTCCAAATATCTGTCGCAAGATGGGAGAATTGAAGAGTCTGAGCGAGTGATAAGGAGACTGAGAAATTCGATCTATGCAGAATAAGTATGAAAACCTTGAAGGTTATTTGATCAAAAAATCTATGGAGAAAACCATTTTATAAAAAAAATCACAACCTCAGTTTCACAAGAATGGGTTGTGAACAAAACTTTCGCCCCAGGCGGGACTCGAACCCGCACCTCTCGCTTACCGGGCAACTCACTACCAAGTTACGCAACTGGGGCAACGTATCACCCTAACTAAGCTTTCAGCCTGGGGCAAAAACTTTGTACATAACTAGCATTTTTGTAGAACTTTCGCAAGGCGGACAGCAGTAGAAATCAAAAACAAGTCAGAGTGTCTGATTAGAGTCGAATTATCAAATAACGCAATTGAATTACTCCGTTATAAAATTCTTTCTTAAACAGTGGTAAGCATTTGTTTGGCAGAGAATGAGGTTCGGCCGAATTTATCAGTGTAATCACCATGTCACACCAGCTAACATCCTTGTCTTATCGTGACCAAAACGAGTGAATTTATCGCGCTACAACTTTTAAAGTGATCAATGTTCGAGCAGGAAAAAAATCAACCACCTGATAATCAGCTGATTGCAAAGTACGGAGAATTTCGAAGTCCTTTTGTCATAGAAGTCCCTATTGTACTGATTGGGCCTTGATAATAATATGACTGTATAAAATTAAAGGGGCTGACGACTACGGTATCCGGTCTTTTCGAAAGCGCTTTCCTCTGAGAAAGGGTTGGCTGATAAGGAAAATTTCTCACTGAATCCTTTACTTGAAAAGCAGCCCAAATGGACACATATTAAAATGTTTTCGGCCCCCAGCTCATTCTTGCTGGTTCCTGCTGGGAGGTGGCTCTTCATTGAGGCTCAAAGGCCCCTTTCGATACCAATAGGCAGCTCTGTCGCTATTTAGCAAAAGCGGCTAGGGATCATCACCATAGGCTACTTTGAGCGCTAAGAGTAGTCATAGGGCTTAGCCAGCCAACAATACTTTCATTTTTTTAAGAAATAATCAACCTATTTAGTAACGGCATGTGTCGTAGTTGGAGCCACAACACATCGAAGCGTTGTTGTTGTTGTCTGATAACAAGGTATGTCGCTTGCGAATTCTCTTGTTTGAGTCACTCCACCTCTCTCCACTTGTGAAACACCTTGCGTCGTCAAGCCCCACCTGCCCTTCCCGCTCACTGTTGGAAGTTAGGGCTCAACTAGGCCTAAATCTCCGGCGGGTACTTTTGAACAGAATTTAGTTTTTCTCATCAGCGGAAAAGTCAAAGTTTATGCACCGAAGATCAAAGTATCCTCTATCAGATAGCCAAATCGAGATCCCAACTGATAAGAGTGGCTGTGAGTTTTGAATAGAAAAACCCTTGAATTCACTCACCCGTCGAATCGGATTCATCGGCTCCTTGTCCGGTGCGGTGGTGTCAGAGTGAACCTTCATGGTTCCTGAAAGCAAACCTGCGTAACTGTGCGAAATTCTGAGAAACAACACCACGAAATCACGCACGAACAAGAACGGAGGTGAGAGGTAGGATCCGTAAAAGGAGACCCGTTGTGCGAAAGGAATTCGATTAGGCAATTTAGTAAACGACAGTGGAAAAAGCGTCGTTAGGCAGCAATCATCGGGTTCAATAGGATAGATTTAAGCTCAACCCAATGCTGGTAAACCGCCCAAACCGGTTGAAAAGCGAAAGCTGTGACTTACTACTGTGCAACCAGTTAGACTGCAAGGTACAAAAGCAAGAATACGATGTAAAAAGTTCGAAAAATAGTGGTGATTGTTGAGTGAGACCTGCGCGGCAGTGGCGGTCGATTCAGGCTCAGTATAAAGTTATTTACCAGCTTTCGAGCTTCAATGACTTCCCGTTCCAAAGTACGGTAAGCAATGTACCAACAAAACAAGTCAAAATTTAGAGTTTGCTGAATGTTCGAGCTCAAATTATATCCCACGATTAGCAAGGTGAGATAATGGTTAACGCAGTGGAGCTATGATTGATCAACAGTGCAATTTCCATGAATCAACTACGTGTAAGTAAGAAACAACTCTAAAAGCTAGAGATTTTAAAGCCCTACGACCATGTGCGCGAATGCGAACGTAGTCTGCCGTCTTCAACGTCCCTTATGCTCTTTGTCCCTGAGACTTGGCGTTCTATGTCTCCCACCTAGCTTCAGCTTTCAGCAAAACGGTCACTAATATATTCGGTGCTTTTCAATGACATTTGGCTGTTTTCTTTGTGTTGTCCCCAGGCTCACCATCTCCTTTTTTTGGACAAGTAAAAGGTAAACACTTCCGTATCTTGGGTGCATCTCCTCGTATACAAGTTGGGCATCTGATTCAATAGGTTATGAGGCACTTGGTTTGGGAGGCTTCAGCTGTGGTTTTATGCCCCAGCTCTTTCAGTCGTGGCCGCCAGAACACTTTCTCATTCCTTACTACTAAAGAGTTAACAGACTTGATTGCCCTTTATGAGTTCGGCGCATGTCACAAATGTGAAATAATTCTAGTTCGCGTTCAAACTTCGTTACCGGACCCATACACAGTAGCGGTCAAAAGTCATCGCAGATACGGTATCTCGTACACTGATTTTTTGCCTAACCGTTCCCTTACAAATATTGCAATTATGTTGCATCTTTTAGCATTTTCGAATCATAGAGCTCCAAGGATTTAAGCCATATGGAGAGGACTCCTTGAGTAACCTTTCAGAATTGTTTACAAAAAAGTTTAATCCAAGAAATTCGTTTCTGCGAACTTTTTGACCGCTATTGCACCTCGCGGAAATCGAATCGGAAATGAATTCTTTCGCACAAATTTTACTATGAACCTCCCACGCCACTAGCGACAACTTTTCCTTTCTTTTTTGTGTTTACTCTTTTTTTATCTTCCTGCTATTATGCTCGGCTTCCTATCACGAAGTGAATGCAGTAGTTGTTGGCTACTCCAGTTTGTTATTAACTAACGGCAAAGCAGGGATAGAGGATTCAAGCTGAAACACTGGTTGTGCAGAGTTGAAATTCCAGTAGTTGCTTGAAACTGAGGACGGAGAGTGCCAAAGAACTAACGAAAATCTTATAGTCCCAGAAGTTATGAAAACTGTTGAAGGATAGTTGAAAACCGATGCGCACAACCGGCGCAAGGGCTGCAGTGCGTTAAACCACCGCTGACCTCGTTATTCTATTAGCCGTTCTCCGGTTTACGTAAATTTAAGGCATTTATGGAGAACGCAAACAAAATGACCATGAAGTCATTGATCAAAGCTCACATCCTTTACAGCAATTTTCTTCAACAAGAACGGAGAAGATCGCAGCAATACAAAATCGTCAGCCGATCGCACTCGAACAAAAGACCAGCAACCGGACAGATCGCTATGTGGTGAAAAAATCAGGTGAAGAGAGTCGTTGCTGCTACGACTCTCGCGGATCGCACCTATCTAAGCCTCCAGAAGGTCTCCAGTTGTTCAACTACGATTACCATTCCTACCAGAAAGAGGGATCCCCTCATCTTCCTAATCACAAATTCTCTAGTAATCGCTTTTAGCGTCCACTCTGCTTACTCCTTTGCATTCACAAATTAAGGAATAAGAGAAAGAACAATTGCACACCCTCGAATAAATTCAAACAGTTCAAGTATGTTATTAATTACGGCCCGGTAACAGCATCATTCACGATAATGATGAACGGAGGTTTGATCTCAACTTGTTTCATATAAACAACATTTATGGAATAATTGCAGTTGCTGCTCTGCTTCCAGAAGAAGCTGGTTATTGAACGTCAAGATAAATGGACGGTCCTAGCCAGGACAAGATTTGATCCGGATTTGACGGGGATGCCACCTACTTATCTACCATAAGCATATCGACGAGCGCAGGTTTTCCATGGGTGAAATATCGGATAAGTATATTTTTACGATTATTTCAACTGATGAGAGCTTCTTATGCAATAATAGCACGAAAGAGAAGGCACAGGGCTGGATACATGGCTGGATAGGTGCCAGATTGGATTTAATGTGTATGGTGCTTCCAATTGATCCGGGCGCGGAGATTGAACACTTGGCACTGCCTCGTAACCAATACAACTCTGTCCTGTAGCTCCTTGCGTGCAGCTGCCAATAAACAGCATCTTGTTCTTAACAGCTTTGAGAGTTTCTGCAGTAGAGCGACCGGGAACGATAAATATATGCTGAGCGCCTCCGACTGGTCAGATCGGCGCTAGCGAATCCACGGAGTCGCAAAGTCTAACACCGGCCCGAACCGGAAGCGGAAAGTGAAAGAAGGGACGCACGCCGAGTGAGTATACCGTAGTATCAACATAGAGAAAATAGATAAAAATAGGATGGAAATCTATATCAGTGATCGCTAAAGCGTGCCAATTTGATAATCAGTTGATAAAATATCGGCAGACACGTGATAACAGCGCAAGCCTACACACTTTCTGATGACAATGACGTGCTTCAATGACCAGAAGGTTGATAAACAAGTGATGAGCAGGACGAGAAAATCAATAATTCGATTTTTTTCGGCTTGTAGACAGATTTTTAAGGTCGAAATTTCGATGGTAAAGTGAACATAAGTCCAGGGCGTGGCTCACTCCCTATGGATTCCATGCTATGAACACGATTATAAGAAGCTTGGCCATTGAAATTGAGAGGCTTTGCAGAGTGTCGTACGGACCTTCAGCCTCCCCCCCCCAAATTTCAGCTTGTAGAGCGGTTTATAACAATTCATTCTCTTGAGCTATCTCCGCTATTCAAAAAATTTTGGTTAATGCGATCTAAGGAAGACTGGGTAGAGCAAGTCAAACGGTCGGTAGCCTAGACGAGGTGAATTTGAATTATCAGGGAATAGTTGAGGGATGGCTCAACCCGGGTAAAAGTGATTCCCGCAGAATAATATTCCAGATTACTTTAGGAATAAGCTATGTAAGATGGACTACAGCCGTTGGTTCATGCGAAACGGTAAGCAAACCGTTTCTCCAGTCCACCAGGGGACTTCGTGTCATGGTAAGATCTTGAATCAGGTCTCAATTAACGGCAGTTGCGACAGCTCGTCAGCGCACGATTAATTGAATGATGTATGGTTACAGTGCATTTAATCAAGGGGAAACCTCTGTAAAAAGTGGACACAGAACATCTGATAATGATAAGCGATAAATTTCCGATCATCAAAACACAGGTAACTACAGTAATCCTCCCGAAGGATACGGTAATTGTAATGGTATTGTTCTCTCATAACAATTAAAATATAAAGTATTGAATTTCCTATTAACGATTAAGAAGTCATAGAATCTCTGTAGGATATACGAACAAACTCTGCTATCAGTGAGTTTGGCGGATACGGCGCTCGGCTGTCGTCGCACATTGATGGATCCTGGTCAGTCGGGGTGAGTGGCTAACTTGCCGGGTCGGGTTGTGACGGAGAACTGGAACTGTAGCCTAATAGCGCCTCTCGTGTGCGCGTATCTTCGCGGCTACAAATGCACTACGAAATCGCATAACGTCCGTCTCAAGGTTGCTTATCACAGGGCTGCGCAGCTGAGTTACTGTCGAAACAAGAGACTCCCACTGCGGACGTTTTCGTACTTTTCCACATGTCAAAAACAAGGGCGAAAACAGGAGTTGCTACAAGAAGGCTGAGTTATGGGCGAAATTCATCACCCCAAAAAGGGTTCGAATCCGCTTCTCTCTACCGAACAAGTGTGCTACCAGATGCACCATCGGTAGATATTTCTATTCAGCTATTTATATATAGCATCGATTTTCAACGCTCATCGTACAATAAGATGAGCCGGTTGGCCAGGAATTCCTATTCATGGAACAAATTGCAAGCTCACTACGAATTGATGGAAGGAGAAGAATCGAAATGGACGGGTAAATCGGGATGCGCCATGCGTCTATCCCTTTCCAAGACGCCTGTTCGAAGGGAAGCTACGGAATTTCGAGCAGCATTTTTATTTTACCTGAGGCAAAACTTGCGCCAATCCTGGAATAATATACGGCTGAATGTTGGTACAAAAGCTTGTGATCGCTGTTATATCTACATCGATTACTCGAAAAGCCGGTTGGGCGAGCGACAAATACGTCTCGATCGTCATTCAGACCTCACACCTACTCGGTGCATAAAATGGAAAGTGGAGGCTATCTCAATATGCGGGGGCATCATATAGGACTGAGCCAAAGAGGCAGAGAGACCTTCGAGAAAAATGAAAATAGCTTACGTATACGGGAGTACTCTTCCACCGTCCAAACTTAGTCCCGATCTTAACAAAAGAAGATGTTTTACGAGGAGTCGAATGCATTGCCACCACAATGCCCCCGTATCTTGTGATAGCGCCGGGAAGCGTTTATTATCAAGCTACATATCGTGTGTTGTGATGAGTTCAGTTGAATCTGGGACAGCAATGTCACACAACCTACACTATGATTCAGGTAAAAATGATCTTTTACAT